CTTGAGCTGAAGAGCTGAGGGACAGCACCCAGGCCCAGAGTTCAGGCCCTACAACCGGACCCAAAAACAAAACAAAAAAAAAGAAAATCTAGTTGTATGTACACACATTGGGCCAAGCCTCCATCAGGTGGCTCTCTAAAGCATATTCCCTCCAGCTTTAAACACATATATTATAAGGATGATTCCAATGTTCTTTCTTTCTAGTAACCAATGTGTGAGTCTAGATTACTTTGTTTAATTGGATCTTATCATGCTGCTTCATATTTACTTGATTTTTCCCAACTGGTTATTGTTAATCAATGCTATACATTCTTTTTTTATTGTGAAAATACTGTACAGAGGGGTTACAATTACATGGGCAAGATAATGAGTACATTTCTTATCAAGCATTGTAGCCTCCTCCTTTGTTTCCCCTTCCCATCCCTTCCCATCCTCCCCCTGCCCCACCACCCAATCCTCCCCGTTCCCCCTCCCCTTCTTTCTTTCTTTCTTTCTTTCTTCTTTCTTTCTTTCTTTTTTTGTTGGTCGTGAGGCCTGAACTCTGGGCCTGGGTGCTGTCCTTAAGCTCTTCAGCTCAAGGCACGTGTTCTACCATAATATTATGTCTGGTTTTCTGGTGGTTAATTGGAGATAAGAGTCTCACAGACTTTCCTGTCCTGGCTGGCTTTGAACAGAGATCCCTAGATGTCAGCCTCTTGAGTAGATAGGATTATAGGTGTGAGCCACATGTGTCCAGCTGCTTCTATTGATTTTAAATGAATGTGTGATCAGTTTAGTTACAGCTACATTATCTGATGGTTTAATACCTATAGAATTTCCAACTAGCAAACTATGGATGGTAGAATCTAAAGAAAAATATGGGGTCTCAATGCTGACTAAAAATTGAAAACACTCATAGAAATGATAGAAGTTGAAAGAATCACATTAAAAGGTAAGGTACAAGCTGTTTGGATTTTACAAGAAGATTTGGAAACAATTTTGCCCAAAGAGTTTATAGGAATTATGAACTCACCTAACTGAATAATTTATTCATGGAAGCATAAAGCAGCAGCAATAGAATGCAGATCTTGGAGTCTTTTTGACTTTGAGGTCTAAACAATGATAACATGCAATAAGGAAACAAGTGTTTTGTAAATATGAGTTTAATCAACCTGTCTTTATTTCACCTATGGACTAATTTCTGTATGTTGCATTAATGTAGTGCAAATTTAATATGTAATTTGGTAAATATTATGTCATATTTCTAAATCACTTAGATATTTTTAATGAAATTGATTAGAAAACTACTGCTAGCATGACCAAGACATTTTCAAAAGTGATATTAAATAAATATGATATGAGCATGGCAAAAGTATACATACAACTAGACCAGAGAGGTAAATGACAAAACTGATCATAGTATACATAATACAGGAATGTTCTTGACAATGAACAGGGATTAAAAACACACATGCAAACTGAATCCATTGAGTGAGACATGTTGTCCTCATGATTGACATGTCGAATTGAAACTCCTTAAAGATAGTAAGTAAATAAATAGTAAGTAAATACAAAGAATGAATCTTAAAATCTTCTGGTAACTTTTAAGAGCAATTTTGAATCAGTTGAGATTTTCATTTGTGCTAACCTGGGGCTTGAACTAAGGGCTTGGACACTGTCTCTGAGCAGTTTTTCTCAAGGCTAGTACTCTACCATGTAAGCCAAAGATTGACTTCTGGCTATTTTCCTCAAAACTCAACCTCCTAAGTTGCTAGGATGACAAGCCTTTGTCAAAGGCACCTGGCCGAAGAATTTTTTTTTTATCAAATAGTGAACTTTGATATAAAAAAATATGGTAACTTCTGCACCTTGGGCATTCCTCATAATTGAGCACACATTATTGTATTATTCTCCTAATTCCTGCATACAATGAAGTCAAGATACATTTCTGGAACTAGATGTTATGGATAATATGTCTTGATGGTGAAAACTAAAGAAGAATTTTAGAAATATATTGGTTGGTTTCCATATAGTGTTTATTGATAGATATATAGATTCTGAGAGATTTTACCAAAGACTATGCTCACTCAATTTATAAAACAATGAAGTTAAACAATGGTTAAAACACTAAACCTAAACAAAACAGATATCCTTAGCTCTTAAATACTTTGATTTGAAAAATAGTCTTTGAAATCATTTTCTTGATTTTTATGAAGATTATCAGTGAAACTCATTAAATGCAAAACACATTTCGTTCATATATTTTCCAAATGCTATCTAGACTGCTTATCAATTTTATATTCCATCAAGAGGCTAACTGTAAATTTTAGCATGCTCAAGTCTATGAATTGCTACTGACCAAAGGAAATGAAAGGATCTTACCTGTCACATGCTCTGTAAACTTATGTATAATCTTGCTTAAAAAGAAATGTTACTTGCTTCCTTCAATATTGAAAATTTTGCAATGAATATGTATCACTTACTGATTTCCTCAAAGCATTTCAAGTCACGTAATGATACTTTCAAATATATTAAAATGTAAGAGAGAATTTCATGTTCCTATATTATGACTCTCATTGATGTCTGTCCTAGGAAAGATGTTAAAATATTTACCTATTATTAAATATTTCAGAACTTAAGGCAAGAAAAATGTTCTGTTCACACACCTTTACTAAAACTAATTTATTTCTTTGATTTCACAAAAAGTTTAAATTATATCTGTATATTAAACTTACTTTCTCAAACAGATGAAATTCAATTTGGGTCTAAAAGATTTAAAATGTTGGATATTTTAGATCTCAATACTCTACACTATGAATTTATATAAAAGGCCTGATAAGCAAATAACTCATACACTGAAATGAACACATACATTTCAGATTGTAGCCTTCTAGTAGCTTCATAGTCTTATTATTGTTTTAGTTTGGATTCTAAAGTCAACTTGTGATTCAGGGCAAATTTCTTACTAAGGAAGGTTCTAAAGATGTCTACCACTACCAGAGGAAGTTCTCTGTGATACACTCTATAATTAAAGACAAAGACATCATGCATGTCTACAAATATATTCCAAAATTAAAATCACTCATTTGTATAATACAATTTTAAAATAAACAATAAATAATTTTCACTTTAGGAAACTGGTGGATAGCTCAGTGGCAAAAGACACGCTTAAAATTCACAAGGATTTGAACGTCATCTTTGACACCAAACAGACAAAACGATTACCCTTTTTCACTTCTTCAGGGAATAGAAAGAAGGGACTATACTCATGTTTGGAAAATTCTTATGAAGGAGAATTTGTATATTTCACATGCCAGTAATGTGTCAGGATGCAAATCAGAAATCATTTGCTACTTCTGAGCCTCCAAGATGTAATTCTATGAATCTATCAGAAAGAGGGACATTAAAAAATCATATTAAGTGAAGTAAGACAGACCCCAAAGAAACATAGGTTCCATAATGTCCCCCATTTGTAATAATTAGTATATGTCTAGGATAGTTCCAGCAGAGGTTCACCATGGCTCAATAGCTGTATGCATATGAACAGATAAAATGAACTACAAAATATAGAAACAAGAGGTTTGTTTTAAATTGTACTCTGTGAAGTTACTTCTTTTTTTCTTTCATTTTTTCCTTTGGTTTATTCCCTGTTGTCACTGTTTTTTATTTTGTCCCTGTGTCTTATATATATGTTTATCTGATTTGGGGAAAGAAGGGGGAATAACAAAATGGTGAGACCAAGGACAAAGGTGAACCAATGCAACAGCCATACTCATAAGACACTAGGTTGGAAATGAACTTTACTATTGGAGGGTAGGGGAGCCAGGGAGGGAAAATGGGAGAAAATGAGGCAGGGGTTAACACTGACAAGAAATGTACTCATTTTCTTACTTACATAACTAAACCCTCTGTACCTCATCTTTACAATAAAATAGAATATATATTTTTTAAAGAGAATACGATCAAATTATCAAAGACATGCTGGTGTAGACCAGAAGCCTCATCAGGGGTGAGGTTCAGAGTTTACGGTATCACCCAACCTGATGATAAAAGAAGTCCTCTCTATAAATAGGCAGAAGCATTACAGTAGCTTTAAAATGACCCATCAGAACACATGAGACCATTCCATAGAAGGGATAGTAGAGGAAAAACAAAGGAGGAGGTAACAATGCTCAACAGGAAATGTACTTATTGCCTTCCTCATGTAACTGTAACCCCTCTGTACACTATTTTTACAATAAAAATATAAGTAAAGGAAAACTACAAGGAAGAAAACTTAAGTTACTTAGGTTACAGCCAGCACAGGGTAGAAGATAGATTGTTGTGAAGATGGGAACCACAAATATCGTATTTATAATCATATGATCCTATGGGACTAAGAAGAGGCTTAAACTTGGGCACATTTAAGTGTCTAAAACTATGCAATTAATCAAAATTTTTATACTATTCCGATCCTATATGTAGACATGCTTGTTCTTTTAACCAAATTTCCTTTTACTCATTGGAAAGTTGTATCTTAGCTCTCCTGTTGAAGTCTCCTTGGTATGTGGTTTGATAAGAATGACCCTAGCCAGAGACCAATTGCTCATGTCTATAGTCTTAGCTACTCAGGAATCTCAGATCAAAGCCAGCCTAGACAGGCAAATCTGTAAGACAGTTACCTTCAATTATTAACAGGCAAGAGGCTAGAACTGGAGGTATGGCTCAAGTGGTACTGTGTCAGCCATGAGGGGAAAAAACAAAGAGAGTGTAAGACACTGAATTCAAGCCCCATTACTAGAAAAAAGTATCCTTTTCTAGCCCTAGAGTTGATGTGCCAATCAGAACATTCTATGTCCAGTCCCAACTATTAGATACAGTTTACTTGGCTCTTATAAGGCAGATACAGGCTTATGGAATGTATTTACTAGAATTGTTAGGCAATGTCAGGCCTCTGTGACCTTCTTGTGAACTACCTGGGTGATTCTGATCGACACCAACATGTCTTTGATAATTTGATATTCTCTTTTTTTTTTTTACAGTTGAATTGTATTGTCAAGGTGATGTGCAGAGGGGTTACAGTTACAAACATAAGGTAATGAGTACATTTCTTGTTAAACAGTGTTACTCCCTCCCTCGTTTTCTCCCACTTTCCCTCCTCCTAACTCCCCTCCCCGTACAAGCTGTAAGGTTCATTTCTAACATAGTGTCTTGCAAGTATCACTGTTGTGTGGGTTCACCCTTTGTACTTTGTCTCACCATTTTGTCAATCCCCTTCCTTTCCCCAAATCAGAGGCAGTAGGGCAAGCAGTAAGGGAAGGAAGTGATGGAATGGAGCAAGAGATGGTGTGGATGAGGTGGTCTCACTCATAGTCAAACCATTGAAAAAAGATGGTGAATACAATTGCTAGACATTTGCCAACACATCTGTTTTGATTTCAACAGTTTAGATTTTACTCCAATGATATATGAAGTAGCCTTCATCTATATCCATGAGTCTTGTAGGACAGTCCTCTTCATCTTCTGATTAATAAAGGTTGTGGCCTGTAGGTTCTTATTTCTTTCAATTTTTTGCTATATTTCTAAGACTTGTGTTTATTTGGTAAGCGCTCTACCACTGAGCCACCTTCCCAGCCCACTTGTGTTTATTTGGTTGTAAGATGATTAAATGTTTCTGGCCATAACGTCTTCAATATGAACTCCTTGGTATGTGTCTTTATCTACTTTGACCTCAAGCTCTATCTAATATTCTAATTCCTTTCCTTTTGTTTGCATTTTCCTATAATAACTTGGAACATCCTTTTTTTATATTAAATTTGTTGAATCAAATTTTCATGAGACTCTCATAGACAGTGCACAAGACTGAGTTTCAAACTCACCATGGGATAAATGCTTGGAATCTCAGCACTTGGAAAACGTAGGAAATTTATGAGTTTGAGAACAGCCTGGGTTACAGAGCAAGATGGAAGCCACCTTTCACAATATAGAGACAGTACTTTAAAAACAAAAAAAATCCTTGGGGCTGGGAAGGTGGCGCAGTGGTAGAGCGCTTGCCTTGCATGCATGAGGTCCTGGGTTCGATTCCTCAGCACCACATAAGCAAAAAGAAAAAAACCGAAAGTGGCGCTGTGGCTCAACTGGTAGAGTGCTAGCCTTGAGCTGAAGAGCTGAGGGACAGCACCCAGGCCCAGAGTTCAGACCCCACAACTGGACCCCCCAAAAAAATCCACCAGAAAATAGTTAAGTTGTGTCATGTGATATAAGCTTGGAATGCATGTGGCTGTGTTTATATATTACATTTTTCTATTTCCAATAACTTCATTATCTTCTTATTGTCTTATTGTTGTTATTTTCTTCTTCTTTCTGATTTTTATTTGATCATGATTTAAGGTCTTTTTGAAATATTGTTGGATTCTGCTTGTTAACATTCCATTGAATATTTTTGCATGAATAATCAGACTCTGTGTCTATATATACATATATATAAATATATACATATATTATATATTATATTACTACCCCAAAATAATTAGAAAGCATTCCTTTCCTTCAACTTACCAGATGAGACTGTGAGACCTTTTTTTTTTTTTACCATCAGGTAGAAATCTCCAATGAAACTATTTAAATTTGGAGGTTCCTGAAACTTATAACAAATTTAATTTCCTGAAGCGCTCTAGGGTGTTGTACATTATCTAGTTGATATTGTATGAGTTTTAATAGAGTTTGTTTATTGATAAATCTGTTCATTTTTTTCAAATTTATGAGTGTCAGGTTCATAATATTTTTATATTCTTTTTATATAGTCTACCATGATACTGCTTCATTTAATGCTATTAATTTATGTTCCTCTTACATTTTATCAATATTGTTAAAGGTTTCTCTACATTTGTTATTAAAAGTTAGGGAGTTGACTAGACATACTAACAATTAAATGTGTCTTACTCTATCTCTATTTCTTTTTCAGTTATATTGGTCAATTGTTACAAAGGGGCTATAAGAAAGGCTTGGAACTTGCTTTGAACCTACCAGTGTATCAAATAGTCATACTTTTTTTTTTATTTTAGTACCCAAATAAGAATAGGAGAGTGAGTAGTGACCCCTTGAGACTGTTGAAGTTATTCATTGTCCTCAGAATCATGGATACATCAAGCAGTGCAAGAAGGTGAACCAACATTCCACATCTCTTCACCAAGTAAGTATGTGCAGTTAGGTAGACAAGGAAATAATGTACTTGTTAAATTACTGGATCTTTTATGGATTTTGTTCATTATAAATAAGTTTAGTATTCATTTTGAGTACAACATAAAATATATTTTATAGGTTAGTAATCCTAGCTCTTCAGGAGGCTGAGATCTGAGGATCTTGGTTCAAAGCCAGCCCAGACAGGAGAATCCATCAGACTCTGATCTTCAATTAACCACCAAAAGCCAGAGGTAGAACTATAGCTAAGAGGGTGGATGCTAACTTTGACCAATAAAGCTCAAAGAGAGTGCCCAGACCCTGAATTCATACTCTAGGAACAACACAAATGTGTATACACACATATATACACATACATATGCACATATGTATGTGATTATATAGGTATATGTGTGTATTCTATTACATGAATGTTTTTCCAATGAAAATATAGGGTTTTTTGTTGTTGTTGTTGGTGGTCGTGGGGCCTGAACTCTGGGCCTAGGCGCTGTCCCACAGCTCTTCAGCTCAAAGCTATCAGCTCTTCAGCTCAAGGCTAGCACCCTACCACTTGAGCCACAGCACCACTTGCATCCTTTTCTGCTTATGTGTTGCTGAGGAATCGAACTCAGTGCCTCATGCACATGAGACAAGCATTCTACCACTAAGCCAACTTCCCAGCCCCCAAATACAGTTTTTATTGTGTAAACTCTATATATTCTCTAAGTAATTTAAATGTGTGGCAATTTCAAGGTAGCTGGCCTAATTAAAGACTTGTAGTTCTGCTAATTGCCCATGATATCATCTACTTAAAAGACATTAAAGTCTCTACTAGACAATAGCAGCATAAGAAATATTAATACAAAAAATCAGCAACTTCCTGTATACTAATAACAAACTTGCCATAAAGGAATTGCATTTATAAAAGACTCAAAATTAAAATGAAATACCCAGGGACAAACCTGAATGGGGAAAGGGAAATGAAACATTTCTACAATGAAAATTATAAGAAGTTACTAGAAGATGAAACTGCCTACCATATTTGTGGGTTGTCAAAATTAATATTTTGAAAAATGGATATATTACAGAAAGCAATCTACAGGTTCAAGGTAATCCTCCTCAAAATTTTAGTGATGTTTTCGCAGAACTAGATAAAATAATCTTAGAATTCAAAGAGGTACAAGCCGATGTAAGCTAAAAGAAAAACACTAGTGATATTGCAACACCTGACTTTATACTACATAGTCTCCCAGCAAAACAGCATGGTACAAGAACAAAACCAGACACATATACCAGTGAAAAATCATAGAAAATACAGAAACAAACCATTGCAAACCAGGCAGACACACATGATTCCTGACAAAAGTTGCAAAAACATATGCTGGAGAAAAGACAGGCTACTAAATAAATGTGCTAGGACAATTGGATATCTACCAGACTGAAACTTGATCCTACTAGAGTAAAATATAAGAAAGATCTGTGAACCCTCTAGCCTCTTAGTATTGACACTTTATTCATATAGAGCAATTTGTTCACATTTTAAGAGTTTTGCCCAATACAGGTGGCCGATACATGTAATTGTCACTACACAGTAGACAAAGAGTTGGATGATAACAGTGTACAAGTTAAAGGCTAAGGGCCTGAGTTCAAGGCCCAAGTACTAGGGAAAAATAAGTTAAAGGGCTTTTTATTTTCATATAAAGTCATTAAGTAATGTCTATTTTTTCTATTCGTTTTAGAGATTGTAGCTGTAAAATCTGTCTACAATTCTGCATGATGTGAAAAATGAAAGTAATTATGATTACTAATGATGATTTAATTGTATAGTTAAATGTTTATTTCTAAATTTTTCATGCAAATAAGTGCATAATTAGGAAAACAAGTTACTTGGCCAGTTAATCAGGTTTCGTTTTAGTCTTGTTGTTTGGGCTAAAATGTACTCCAGGATGTCATCTGTGATTTGGAATATTAAAAAAAATGCTTAAGGGTGAGCCTTTGGAAAGCAATGTCCCTACATTGCCAAGCATGGAGTGGGATGTGTTTGATGGAAAGAAAAGCTTGGAAAACCTGAAACATGAGAAGAAATCAGAAGGAGAGACGATTTGAGGCGTAGAAGCTGTGTGTTCAGAGTGGCTAGCCAATTGAATACAAGTACTCTCCAGACCTGGGCTTGAAGAGTCTCTATATGATCGTCCATTCTGTTTGTCTGTCATATTGCTGGTTGAGCCATTTTCAGAGAAAAGCATCATAATCAGATGGCAATCCTGTGTACTGTCAGAGAGGAGGCAAGCCACCTCTCCATACACATGCTGAAATCATGAAAAAAAAAAAAGGTTAACCACTGAGATATGGGCATTTATCAGTGACAATATAAGCTCTACTCAAAAACCTATAGAGCAAGATCACTCTCACTCTAAAAAACTATGATAAAACTATGTTGTTACATATACCAGAATTCCCTGGTGTTTTCAGTTTCCGTGGATGTACTTTTGTGAAGCCAGATTGGTATCTGGCTGCAATAAAACAAATAGAATAAATTAAATTTGTAAGAAAAGATAGCTAGATAGGTAGGCAGGTAAGGCACTAGGCACTGTTTTATGAGTAATATTCACATTACAAAATGCTTAGCATAATGCAAGAAGTAAAATCAAGTTTTAGGAGGCTGAGGATATAATCATAATGCAAATACATGATGAAGTAAGTCATACATTAAAAATAAATTTCAATCGAGAAGCTATGAAGTTCACATTACATATGACTATAACACAATGCACTAAACAAACATACTGAAAATCTAGAGGTCTCTGAAAGAAAAGGGTATTTTATAAAATAGTAGTTAATTTAAAATTCAGACCTGAGAGTTTGAAGAATGCAAGTGAAGTTAAAAGATAATGAATTGTACCACATATAATTTTATTAGCTAAGGTCAGTAAAACTAGTAAACATACATAACTTATATAAGAGGGTTGCTGGGAAAGAGTAAAGGAAGGTCTGACATTGCTCAGGAAGAAATGTCCTCATTACCTGGCTTATGAAATGGTAATTCCGCTGTACATCACCTTAGTGATAATTAAAATTAAAAATAAAACAGAAAGTAGAAATATTCATAAACAAAAACACTATTACATGCATTATGGGCCAACATTTTTTTAAAATGAAAATAGCCCATGCATTGCTTAAGGGAATCTGGAATGAAATCTGAGGTCGGTGTGTTCTTTTCGTGTTATAAGGCATTGTTTACATGACTAGCAAACATCCCACTTACTTAGAATGAGGAGGAGGAAGCAGACAGGAGTGTTTATGCATTAGGCTCCCACCCCAGCCATACAAGGAGCCTCTTTCTACTTCACCTTGAAGTTCAGCTGGTGGAGGTACTGTTAGCTCTTCCACTCACCCTGGCCCCCTCAAGATGGTGAGCCTTCTCTTGGTGCCCACCCACCCTAAGATGTGAACAGATGCCCAAATTCATGGCCTCCTTACAGCCCAAATCTCAGGAAGTAAAGAGAAGCCAGGCAGACTTAATGCCTCTTATTTTCAATGACAAAAGTTACTAAATAGAATTTAATATAGAGGTAGTGTCAATTGTTTTTTGGACAGCTTCTTTTTTTTTCCTTCCCAGATTGTCCCCACCCAGCACTATCTTCTCAGAATATCCTCTGTGCCTCTATTTCTTTACAACGGAATAAAAGTGGATGCCTTATATTTTCATAGATATTAGAGGATGCTATATACATGCAAATCAAACAAAGCAGTTAATCCAAGTAAGTTCAGCTGAGGTAAACGCTACACACTATTTGGCTTAACGAAATGCAACTAAGATTAAAGTAAGCCTTCAACTCGTTTAAATCTCTCCCCTAAGCAAATACTTTGCTGATTGCAGTATTCTCAGGGTATTTGATAAAACATTGCTCCATCCATAGAAAAGCAGACATTTGTGAAAGTAATTGCCAGAGATTTTATAGTAATTCATAATCACTATCTGGAACCTTAATGTAAACTTACATGCACATTTTTGGTGAGCTGTGTAATCTTATATTCCAAAATGGGGGGAAAAAGCCGCCTTTTCAATATCTGAGAATGGGTCCACTAACTGGAAACAAATAAATCTTACTGCAAATACATGGACTTTTTATATTATAAACAAACTATAAATATTACTACTAAGGCATGGACTTTTTATATTAAAAATCAAACAAAGGAATTTTCCTATCTTATCTGCTTCTCTTTCTGACTGACTTTCACATACACATAGGTACAGGGATATTTACTCTCTCTCTCTCTCTCTCTATCTCACACACACACACACACACACACACACACACACACAGTACCTCAAACTCCCAATTAAGTGTGTTTTATCCTCTGGAACATTAATATTACCTTCAGAAATATAGTCAACCCTTCTCCAAACAGAGTAGGTCTACATTTGTACTTTTTAAACTAGCTGCTAGAAGCTGCATCCCAAGCTTAATAAATTTATATTTCATTTTCAAATCATAGTCTCTAAAATCCCTTTGTATAAGACTCACATAGTTATTTACAGCTTCTGGTAAATGGAACACACACACACACACACACACACACACACAACAATTTCTCTTTAATAGAAAGACAACCCCAACAGATGTGTATAGCATATTAAAATTTGTCATAGAAATGCAGTGCATGAGAAAATGAACCAGTGCCCATGCTTACCACACATTACACGGCCTACTCTCTGGCTTCACAGTGGGATGAGACAGAGAAATACAAGTAAGTTCATGAAGCAGTCATGTGACCTTCTTACCCGCCAAGCACTCTGGTCCAAAATAAGAAGCTATAAATTTCTTCCTCATTAAATACTTAGACATCTTCACAGAGAGATTTAATAGACAAGTCCTCTAAACCTTGTGTTTAAAAGTTAACCAGAGCTATCTCTCTAGAGTCCTCAGAACACATTTTCTGTCCAATATTTAACCACCTGTAAAACCTAAATTTTAATTTACAGAGAGGCAATTACAACTCATCTCCCAGTGTTTGGTTTGTATGTTCTTGCTTTTTGGTTACATTCTTATGCATTCTGCTAAACGTCCAAGGCCACACATGCCAGTTTTTAGAGATAGTTCTAGTTTCTAATAAGGCATATAAAATATAGTCAATTTGAAGTACATTTCTTCCCCAACTTGGTGAATAATGTGTTGGAATGTTTTCTTCAGAGCTTAGATTGAAGGGAACTTTCTTTCTCATATTTTTACAAGTTCTCCACCTCTATTCCTGCCTCTCTATCTCCAAGAAGACCACCGCCTCTCGTCACCTAGCCAGAGTAGATATCACAAGGCAAACATTTATAGTCCAGGAAATGCCCAGGAAAAAATGTGTTAATCAGAAGTCTAACCTCCAATTATCACTAGGACAAAAGCCCAAATTTTCAAACAATTCTTCCAAGAAGGGATTTGTTCTTCATTTTTGTAGGTACTCCTAACTCATAGCTATATGCTTTTCAGTGCAAACTATTTCTTTCCTGTGAGAAATACACCTGTATGAGTATTGCAGCATTGTTGTCATTAATTGCTTTACCACCCATTTTCTTCTCAGAGATGTCAGTGAGATGTGGGTCTGGGAACAGCCACAAATCCCTCAATATTTTTAAGCCTTGCCTGCAGGCTGATGGCAGTCTCTTAAGCTGCCCCTGATTCATTCTCCATCACTCACCAGAATACAGAGGGCTGCTGTGACCACTACAAAAGGATGGTCTTCTCCTGCAGAGATTGATCTCAGCTAGCCAAGATTTTACTTTCATTTCTAATAGCAGAGTTTAGAGTCTTATTTTTCCCCTCAATCGCAACAACCCTGTAAGTCGTATCTTTACACCCTTCTGTAGATCACTCTGATCCATCCTAATATAAAAATGCATTATTAATATCTACCTTTAATGTATTCGTTTGCTCAACAGTTTGGGAAACAAACAAAAAGACCTTCATCTGGCTTATATATACCCTCTACTATTGCTTGTTTCTTCCATCTTGCCTACTCCTCCATATACCCACTTTGCTGTAGCTATATTGTATTTGTGCTAATACTAGGACTTGAACGAAGGTTCTAATACTCTCTCTTGGCTTTTTTCCCCTTAAAGCTATTGCTCTACCACTTGTGTCACACTTTTAAGCATGTTTTGTGTTTGTTGGTTGGCTTACTTTGTTTTTTTGTTTTTTTTTGCTGGCTAACTGAAGAGTCTCACAGACTTTTCTGCTGGGCTAGCTTTGAATCTTGATACTCAGATCTCAGCTTTTGGAATAGCTAGGGCTGTGGATGTGAGCCTCCAGCACCTGGCTTCTTATTCCCTTATGTAGTTCCACTAAATAAAATGAGGAAGATCTTTGTCCCATTAATGTAGAAAGTTGCTTCAGGGAAGCACTGTGGTTTCACTCAGGTAAATGTCACTCTGAGCTCTTCCATAATCTGCCCTAAGTTTAAATCCACGCTGGCTGTCCCTAGCTGCACTGCACATACCTTGTACACAATGATTTCGCTTTTCTGAGGTGGAGGCTATAAGGACATTGCATCTACCCCTTTTTCAAATCTTTTAATTCAAAGGAAATTTGAGAGGAGGCAGGGTTCTAAGAGTGAAGTACCTTTTTCAGCTATAATGATAGATGATGTGTGAAAATATGTCACAAAAAGAATAAAAGAATAGAATTTGGTTCATGTTTGCTTCTTCTACAGATGCTCATATCTCCTCTCTGTGTCTGTGTCTGTCTATCTGTCTCTCTCTCTCTCTCTATGTCTCTGTCTCTCTGTCTCTCTCTCTCTCCCTCTGTCCTGGGGTTGGAACTAGCTTTGTGTTTGCTAGGCAGGTGCTCAACCACTTGAGCTATGCTCTCAGACCTGTTCAATTATTTTTTAGATATAGGCTCATACTTTCTTCCTGAGCCAGCCCTGAAACACCATACTTCCACCTTCACCTCCCAGATAGCTAGGATTAGAGACAAGAATAATCCTGACAGACTGGTTCATTAAGATAGTATTCTGCTGTTTTTGCACAGATTAACTTCAAACAAAAATTCTCTCATTTCTGCCTCTAGGCACTTCTGATTACAAGCATGCTCCATAGCACACTTATTTCCTCTTTTAAGACATTGTAGTCAGAGAAGTTTGATTAATTTACAACAGTTTGAAGTATTAATTTCTTTATAGTAGTGTAGTATGGCTACTTAAATACACAAAGAATTAGTCATTTGGAATTGAAGATATCTAAACAGGATGGGTAAGAAGACTTGAAGAGAAAGATGTAAGTTAAGAATTGTTTTGTGCTCTAGAGGTTTAATGCTGGTTCTAAAACAATCATCCATTCCCTTCAAAGTACTGCACCAAACAGGTGCATTAAGAAAGTGAGAAGATGAAGAATACTAGCTATGAATGCCTCATGTTGAACTTAACATTGGTAAAATTCAAGTCTTGTTAGATCAATGAAAACACTGTACCTCCACTTTCCTCGCTGCATGATATTAAGGCACTTAGGCAAATATCTCTTTCAGAGTATAACTTCAGTGCATAATTTGGAAAGGAAATCCATCACCTAGTTCTTTTCTACTTTCTCTGGATTTTTTTTGGCATTTTCAAGCATAATGCTTTACCTAAAAACCCTTCAACACACATATTATAAGATTTCAGGAATTAAGGCCATATTCTGAGACTTCTACCTATTAAAAACAATCAAGCTTAAGTAACCAATTTAGGTAGCCTCAGAATAGGTAGCTACTGGGTTCGAGAATTCTCACTAGTATTGTTCTAGAGGATTCTGAAGAGTGACAGTGGGTGTTTTCTGCCACCATCATCCCCACCATTCTGTGAAAATGTCAGGCAGAAAATCGACTAAAGAGACCCAATATAAAGTTAGAAACTTGCCCAAAACTCTAAAGTATTTTTTCTGATGCATTATTCTTAAGCTACAAATACATTTGTCTAAGACTCTGAAGTATTAGTATCAAAAGGTATGACATAAATTGGTGACACATAAGTGTATCTTAAAATGGAGGTCAAATTAAGGATGACATGTACTCAAAATGGTTTATATGTTTCATCTTTTTGGGAAAGAGGGGGAAAATGTGGTTCTGCTAGCACTTAGAGGAATTACTTGTTCTCAGGTCACAGATCAGCCAACAACCAGAATCAAAGCCTGAAAACTCTTCCATCAGACACAAGCGCTCTGCAGGGTTGACTATGAAGGGAAGGAAAGTGTGGGACAAGCCAGGTGGCAGTGGATCTTGCCTTTCATCCTAGCTGCTCAGGAAAATTACAGTTCCAAGCTAGCCTACACAGACAAGTCTACAAGTGTCTACTTCCAATTCACCATCTAAAAGCCAGACTTGGGGAATGGTTCAAGTAGTAGAGAGCCAGCCAGGAGCTGAGAGAGTGTTAGTTGAAACCGTGGCATCACAAGATGGATGCAAAATCTGCTTGTGGTACCAGTTTCTCCATGGCTATTTCTATCCCTCAGACATCATGGAACCATACATAGAGCAGAGTTTGAGAAAGTTCACCATCACATTTCAAATCAATGGGGTGACTAGAAACTGACAAAAGACGAGAGACACCAGTGCCGTATGCTATTTGATTCTTTCTAATAAAAAGTGAGAACCGTCTATCACCTCTGTAAAATTTAAAGACAATGTGGGATGCATGTTGTTGCTTTCTAATTTGAAAAAGATGAAGGTACATTTTAACTTGCCTGAC